CGATGTTGATTCCATTTTAATTAAATACAGAAAAAAAATTAAGACTATTGCATATCTACACTGCTAATATTATAAAGAGGTAATCTTCGAAAGTTTGTATGTTAATCTTTGGAACCGCTGGTCGGATTTACAATTTTTTTTTAAAGATTTATATTTACATTGTTCCTTAAAAATAAAAAAAACGTTTGTAAAACTTCACCCTACGACTGACGGGAGCCGAGCGACGAGTAAAACCGCGCGGCAGTAGCTACTTATACATGTATCTAATCTATCATCCTGCGAGATTTAAAATGCCGTCGACATTTTTTTATTTTTTTCTACTTATGAATAAATCTTCTCTGAATATTTCAATTTTTCAATTATAACATTACAACGAAAAGTCGCATTGATTTTTATATCTATAGATCTATAGATAAGATAACAATAGAATTTGTCAACAGTTGACAAGTTAATGATAGCTCAATATACTATACATCTGACATTGGGTAGACAATCTGACTAATCAATCAAAGTCTACATTAGCATCTGCTTCCGAATATTAGAAATATGATGACGAAACTTTCTATTATTAATTTGATAATGATAATTGTTTTATCTTTTACCACATTGCAAATTGATCAGAAATATTGTTTGTGGATTACCTGATGGTAAGCAATCGGCGCCGCCCATGGACACCCACAACACCAAAGGAGTTACGACTGCATTGCCGTTCTTTTGGGGATAGGAGTTTCGGATATAAGGATCGGGAAGGGATAGGGGAAGGGGCGGGATTGGGCCTCCGGTAACCTCACTCACACGGTGAAACACAACGTTGTGGGTTGTTTCTCACGCCAGTATTCTGTGAGGCCGTGGTATCACTCCGGTGGAGCCGACCCATTCGTGCCGAAGTATGGCTCTCCCATTAGTATTATATTATTGCTATAGTAGTGTATAGTTCCAAGCATGTTACTCTACATGGCTAGATTTTACCATCACCAGGGTAAGCTCCCGTTAAGTATATTTTCTCAATAATTAATGGTTATTAGATTTCGTTTTAACCAAGTTATCCTGGAAGGAAATTTCCTTAAAAATATAAAAAAAAAACGTATTTGTGTTGAAAATGTTGTTGATTACATTATTTATAAACGTAATTAATTTTTCCCAGTAATAATTATCAGCAAGAAAAATGTCCGTTATAAAACAAAGGACTCGCCTGAGGTCACGTCGGTGGCTTAAAAGGGTTTCTACCCACAGAACAGCTGCTACCAACTTCGTAAAAACCAAGGAATTGTGGAACTAAGTATACATACAAGTACAAATTAGGTTTTTTCCACGATGTAAAAAGTGAAGGGAAATATTAATTACTATGTTTTCGGCTTACTCACGTAATAATTTGACACGCGACACTCGCCGCGACGCGCGACGCGGCTACTGTCGCTGAATGCTCCTCATGAATATGGGCCTCTAGCATGGCTTGAAACTAGTCGAGTATCTCGTCAAATTATTACGAGAGTATGCCGAAAACATAATAATTAATTTAGAATGTCTCACGAAAGTTATAATAAAAATGAAGGCGAATATCATTGGAACAGGTGAAACCAAATAAAAGTTTGTAAAAAACAATGTAATTGATATCTCTTTTATATCCTCTTCTCCATACCTTCATTTTCCTAAAGATATCACTGAAAGGTTTCCTTTAATGAATACATATAATAGCGATATAATTTTGATTTTGTACTTTGGAAAATTTTAGCAAAATAAAAGAATATTGATAAAATTTTCGAACAACAGGAAGCTAGGCGAGTGAGTGAAATTAATGAAAAAGTAAATAGTTTTATAAATATCAACCGTTGTAGGAATTAGAGTCTGATTGGGTTTAGGATCTGTATCACATAGATCTCCAGGCAAACACGCGCATAGTTAAATAAAAGTTCACTGTTAAACAGACCAATAAGCCTTGTGTGCTGAGCGTAGACCAACACAAAATTCACGATATGTGTGTGAGTGCAAGCGCATGGTTTTGTGTGTTAATTTTACGTCTATTTGGTAAAGATGTTGCCAACATAATTATACAATAACTATAGGCGTGGTAAGTTCAAAAAGCAGCCTATATGTCAATCCATAGTGTTATTATTTTACGCAAAAACGGCAGGACCGACTTGGTATGTAGATGGGAGAATCTACATACCAAGTCGGTCCTGCCGTTTTTGCGTAAAATAATGACAAATATACATACTAGCATACATTAATTCTAACAAACTTTCACATTTTACAATATTAGTAGGATAGCAGGATCTTATATATGATGATATATATATTTGATATATATACAGAGAACTAAGGTTATCGACATAGCCCAAAGGATTAGCAAATTTAAGTGGCAGTGGGCAGGTCACATCTGTCGAAGAACCGATGACCGATGGAGTAAACGTGTTCTAGAGTGGAGACCACGTCTAGGCAAACGTAGTGTAGGGCGCCCTCCAGCTAGGTGGACTGACGACATCCGCAGGGTGGCTGGCAGTGGTTGGATGAGAAGAGCTGAACATCGAGCTCAGTGGCGTGCAATTGGGGAGGCCTATGTCCAGCAGTGGACGACAACAGGCTGATGATGATGATGATGATGATGATATATTTGATTGGTCGATTAGGGAAACACTTGAAAATTGTAGCTGCAGCTACGTCAGTAAACAAATACTAGAATCCAATACACAGTTCAACAACTCTTATTCCTTTTTCGAAATATTCTACTCACAAACAATTTTATATAGGTATGTATGTACATGGCCAGTTTTCCACCAGTTTTTCAAAGGCACCTGTTTGTTCAGTTCTTTATTGAATAAAAACAAAAAAAAACCGCAAAACTATCAGTTGCCTTATCAAACAGTTATGGAGGCCATAATATTTGTCATGGATAACCATCATATCCGGTAATCCTCATGAAAACTAATAAAGCGTGCTATGTGATTTAGTGTCAGATGATAATATGACAGTGTGACATAAATATTGTGCTGACGTCACCGTAAATAATTTATATGACTTGCATAGATAGAGTGACTGATTTTTTACGTTTTATACCTCCCGCGGTTCGCATTTTTATTTGGTACATTTTTTAAAGTAATATTATATACCTACATAATGCTGGGGCTTCTCAAGTTAAAAATAACTTAGCGTGTAATTAATTTAACTGCACGGTTGGTGCGGTGGCTGGGCAACTGGCTGCCGTGCAACGTGTTGCAGGTTCTATGCCCACACTTGTGCACTGTCCACAAATTGTTGTTTCGGGTCTGGGAGTCATGTGTATGTTCAATTGAATGTTTGCAAACGCACCCACGATACAGGAGAACACCTAGTGTTGGTTCAAAAAAACTATTCTTATCAATATTTCAATGAAATACTTTTCACTTTATCCCTTTAAATACTCGATTCTTTTACCTAACAATTATGTTTAAACTACAAATATTTTAAAAGATCAGAATGGAACGCGTGCACGGTTAACGCGATGGCTGATCAACCGGCTGCCGTGAAACGTGTCACGTGTTTTTATTTATATATACTTCATTGCACACATACCAGTAGTACTAATAGTAATGCATTGAATACCGTAAAAATATTGTGATCACACAAGATGATTTTTTCCAGATGTAAATGTTTAAAAGAAACTTAGTTATGGGTAGTGAAGTATACAAACAAATGAAATATAATATAAAGTTCATTCATTTATAAATTAAATTAATTACGACACACATATTTCGTATATGTACCAAATACAAATACGATTCCCTCACGGAATAACTCGTTGTGTGATCCACAAACTTGTTGGCTTGTTCCGGACTTGGGTGTGATGTGTACATATGTGAAATTCTTAGTTTGTAAACGCACCCACGATACAAAAGAAAATCCTTATTTAGGACATAGTTTTTTTTTAAGAAAAATAAGTAGTTTTAGGTACTAAAATTGTACATAGTATTTTGACGGGACACAGCGAATTTGTTATAATGTGTTAAGGGTAATCAGCTCTTAATTTAGAATTAGAAAACATTTTGGAAATATTTAGCACCTGCGTCCGCTCTCAGATTCCCAGAGGGCCATTAGATTAAAACGTTCATATGAGAAAAACCAATTTACGAAAAAGAGTTTTTAAACATTTCAATTTGGCAGAGAAAAGTTATTTTTATGTTTCTTTGCTATGTGTGTTAAATGCCTGTTGGTTTTGTGATATCCAGTTTGATTGATGAGGTTCTAGATCATTTCAAGGTCGTACCTAAGTGCTCAAAGCAATATCATTCTTATGACCTTCAGTATTACGACTGTTTACAGACTATCTCGTTAACCAAGTGTATTTATTTCCTAACAAAGTATCTTAAGCTTGACCCTACGCTTCTTAAAGAGGGTGGCTTAGCGCAAACAAAAAGAAAATGGTATTCATTTATTATGATTCTGAACAAAAACAAAGGACATACGAACATGCTATTAGGTAATATCAATTTCAGCAATGCCTTGTGTTGCAAACAGTAATAAAATTAATAAATTGCGCTTAAAATAAGAAATTAATTTGAAAAAAAATATAATAATAAAATGTTCTGAAATCAATAGTAAACTATAAAGAAAATGATTATAAAAAAACATAACCTTACATTTATACAGTTATAAAGAACTCACGAAGAATATAGTATTGATTATAATCTATAACATAGAACATTAACAGATGAAATATTAGTTAGCAAATCTTCAGTGACCCTTTAGAAGAAACAATGTGAAGAGTTATGTTATAAACAGAATGGTTTCTCACGAGGAAATTCACGTGCAGTACAAATGTATACAAACATAAATCTCTGATACACCAGCACAGTCACGCATCGAGGCCCCACAAATATTTGTGCGCAAACAAATTAGGCCACGTACCTTACAGGCTAACGTACCCCACTTATACAGATCTAGGTATACATAGCAAAAAGCTATTTGGGTCAGTCAAAAGATTTTTCTTGTCAGGGGAAAATCATCAAATCACTTCTCCCGCCCAGGGTGAGGCGAGAGACAGTGTCAGACTCTTAGTGACAAAAACCCCCCCTGTTCCTTCTCCTGCTCTGCATAATGCATTGATCAGCCCTATAGGCATCCGTCTGTGGTAGTCTATTGGCTCTTTGAGGCGCGCCCAAAACGCTACGCGCCCTACGCGTGGGGGCTGGTTCTGGTCGGCGGCGAGATACCCTTACTAGCCGTCCGCACCGACACGCGCTCCAGTGGCCGGAGATCACCATTGGATCCCCGGAATGTTACCTATCAGTCAAAAGATTGGCTGTATTATGTATCACATCATCAGCCTGTCCTGTGTCAGTGTCCACTGCTGTGCAAAGGCAACACGGAGAAGCGCTTGCTCAAGGATGGGCAATTTAAAACTTATAATCAGAAATTATAAGTCCAGATTTCATCACGATGTTTTTACCGTATGTCAGTGGTATCTATATAATCATAGAGTGTGATGATGTGTGTGTGTGATGAGTGTCTAAATAATCATAGTGTGACTCTGAAACAGTCATATTGGTACTTGTCAGGTTTCAAACCCACACCCTCGAGTATGAGAAGCGGGCGCATTAACTAACATCCGGGCAACAACGACGTCAATCTTGCAAAATTATAGATGTGTGTTTTTATTTACTTAAAAATAACGTTTAATTAGATAGAATAGGGTTGTAGAGAGCGAGAGAGAATAATAACAATATAAATGAAGGCTTTCTAGCTTCATATTCAGAGATAGAGTCTATGTTACGTTCAGATTCCAGCAGTAATTATTATCGGGTTTTATGTTGAACATTGACCTTTTCCAGTGACTTCCAGATCTCCTGGTTGTAAACTACCTGCATTCAGAAACCTCAGCAGTGGCTTGTGATGACGGCGATTAGTTTTTTACTGGGATAATGGCCGGTAAACGAGCCTACTGATTATCTTATTGTGAGGAATCAGAGTCTGCTGTGGACATTAGCAAAACCAGAGGAGTTCCAAGTGAATTGCTAGCCTTTTTGGCGTTGTTGGGAGTTTAAAGGATTGAGGTTTGGGGATTGGGGATAGGAGAAGGACAAGCCAGTTAATACATCCTGTCCTTTTTTGTTTTATGTTTAATTGTAGATACCTATATTATTTTCAAACATTCATTCTATAAATATCTTTTCTTATTATAGAAACATCAAATAAATAACACTCACACTACCAAGCAATTTGAGCAACATAGCTACATCGATAATTAAAAAATAATTCTATTGTGTCTCGGATGATCGCGATTGAAAGGTTGAAATAGAATTAGCGTAGTTTTCTTTGAGAATATTACCATATCATGTCTTTGCTAAGAGTTTACTCCAACGCTACTAAACATGTAATAGTTAGTCGTAAATTATAAGCTTGTATAATATACATAGTATGGGCGCTAAAATTGCGTGCATTGATTATACGTCTCGCTTTACATTAATTATTTCGTAACACAATAGTACTGTTATTAAATTCATTACACAAATGCTATATTATTATAATTTTTATCATGGCAAATCTCTTTATAATCCGAAGAGATGGGTTAGAAGTACATACGATTTTAGTTTACTTTTAAATGAGCAATTAATGAATAACAAACCATTACCTAAAGTTTGAGAGAGCCAAGCCAAGGGTCGGCTCAATCGGAGTAATACCACAGCCTCACAGAAAAACGGCGTGAATCACAGTGTTATGTTTCGCCGTACGAGTGAGGTTACCGAAGGCCCAATTGCAAAATCTCCAAATCCCTAAAACCCAAAATGTCAACAACTTATGACTTATATTACTCCTCCGTGGTCGCTGATTGCTTACCACCAGGTGATCCGTCTACTCGTTTGTCGTCCTGTCACATACTAATAGAGGAAACCTGGACTTGTAATTTCTAATTTGAAAATAAGTCTTGAGGAAGCGATGTCATTAATCCTCAAACCTTGCTTACCTGAGAAGAGGCCATTGCAGAGTACTTATAGGCTGAACTTGCCAGTCCGGAGGAATGGGCTTCGGGTAAATTCATTCACACGGCGTAACACAGCACAAGCTTTGATTCACGCCGGTGATATTCTGTAATAAGGTCGTCGAACTTAGACTACCTAGACTGGACTAGCTGGAATGATTTTGTTAGAATTTGGCTGTTTTTTATCAATATACCACGCGGCCGACGCCGTGGAAGCTAGTAATGAAGTAAAGAATGTAACCATATCGCTTGACTCTAGGAAAATTGATTTTTCAATTATTATTCTAACTAGTAAGAAGTAACTTTACTTTTCTTTCAGCATCGCCTGTCTGTTTAACTGCAGTAGCTACAAGCTGCAAGCTTTGTTAGACAATTTAATGAGTAGTAAGTCTGTTCACGGTACGGTTGGAAGAAAGTGTTCAAACTCAGCGGAGTTTGTCTGATGTTCAATGTAAGAATTCTTATAACGTCTTGTAAAAGACGTAAGTTATATAATCAACTTGTTGTTATAAAAGTATGAAAATTGCTTCTTTTTTTTTTCATGTGAGAGGTCGGCAGACTAGCAGATCGATTACCTGATGGCAAGTAATCAGCGCGGCCCATGGACACCCGCAACAACAGAAGAGTAGCGAGTGCGTTACCGACCTTTAGTCGATAAGGGATTTAAAAATTTAGGGATTGGCGAGGGATTGGGTCTCCGGTAACCTCACTCGCAAGGTGAAACACAACGCTGTGGTTGTTTCACGCCGGTATTCTGTGAGGCCGTGGTATCACTCCGGTCGAGCCGACCCATTCGTGACAAACATGGCTCTCCCAAACTTAACAAAACTTAGATTCTATTGATAATCGAAAGACTTCAAATCTGTTTCAAGTTCTAAGTACATGAATTTGTATTTACATGCAAAAATATTAATAAGTATTTTATTTATCAACTAACTAACTTTAATAAAATTTGAACATTTATTATAACTGAAATTAAAAAAGGTAAAGTTTATTTTTTCCCTAATGAAACAAAGTTCTTTTTTCCATCAGCAAACTAATTAAGAAATTAACAGAGCTGGTGGTAATTAGCGCGGTACCTGATACCCCTCATTAGTTGAGGTCGGCAAGGCGTTATTACAAAGTAGGGGTTTAGCTGGCTAACACTTCATCGGACACGTGTATCAGACTTTGTTATACTCTTTTTTTTTATGTTTTCTTCAGTCGTGGGTTATAATAAAACCTTCATGTATAAAATACTAGCGCACCAGCTTCGTTTGTTTTGGATGTTAAATTTCATCAAAATCCGTTACGTAGTTTTAGAGATTTAATCATATCTAGATAGTTCTATACTAATATTATAAAGAGGTAGTAAGTTTGTACGTAGGGGGTAATCTTTGGAACCACTGGTCGGATTGCCAAAATTCATTCACTGATAAGTAGCTACAATGTTACTGAATGCTATAGGCTATAAAACATCACGCTACGATTTAATGGAGCGGAGCACCGAGTGAACACGCGCGGGAGTAGCTAGTATAGGGATATAGGGACTGAGAAATCGACTTTGTTATATACTATGTAGTGAGGTGTGTGTGTGTTTTCAACACACCCAACCTTGCAGCGATTGTAAATTACACCAAAAGTCCTGTTCTTCGATGTTCAAATTCTGTTCGAGTCTGTTTTTCATTATGTTACATTATATTGAACTCGCTATGTATAAGTATACATTATGTATGTTTGTGAAGTAGAATCATTTAGCAGATATCATCAATAAATTGGGGTGAATTCTTGTACTTACGTTTAGTTTCCATGACCATAAATGCTAAGCAGTACGAATTTACTCTAAATCCTTTAAAATTGATGTAAAGTCTTTATATTCGAAACTTTCTCAAAACCGGTAATAGAATGAATGAATGAATGAATGAATGAATGAATGAATGAATATACTTTATTGTACACCATAATAATAAAAAACATAGGAAACAAAAACACAAAATATAGTACAATTGGTCTTATCGCTTAAAAGCAATTTCTTCCAGACAACCTTTGGATGGAGTTTAACTGTAGAAGAATTTGATACGGGCAGTTTACGGCGTACATATACATTATAATATAATATATATAATAGCTTATTATCGAAAAGTTTCTTATTATAGATTTACTTCTCTCTTACGTTTTATTTGTTTAAGTGTAGTTATATGTTTGTAATTGAACGGAGAGGTGCCATGCTATTAGAAGAAAAAAATGTGTCTCATCCAGTTCTGGCTGAAGGTCAAATTTTAAAAAAATGCAGCCTTATTAGGTGATTCGCCATTCAACCAACAGCTTAAATGACTAGTCGTTTGATTGAATGTCTAAATTTCTCATTCAGACTGTAATTTAAAGGTTGTTGTAAATGTTAGGTTGAAGGGATTGTTAGAAAAACTGAGTTACTACCAGAATAGTAGGTTAGGTTAGGTTTTAATTGTGAACTGCACAGAAATTTAATCGCCATCGCAAATAAACAGATACATAAATTTCTACTGCAATCAAATTACTAGGTAAACTGAACTATTTGAATGGCTATTTTTATCAGTTAGCTGCGACATCTAGATGCAATACCTAAAGATAATTTTATCACTTGCTATAATTTTGGATGTTTAATACAAAAGTGTTATCTAAATTCGGAACCCTCTAAGCTGTTACGTTTGGTGGCGAAATCTCGAATAAGCGTCGATCGATTTAAGCCCGCATTTGATTACATCCGCCCTTTTGGAATGGGAGTGATAATTATAGCAAAACCTTTGACAGAGACGCTGTTAAGATGATGCAGGTACACAATGTTCGGAATATATACCTTAAACAGCAAAATCAAAAATACTACGTACCCATGTTTTAAGGGTGCAGTGCGGGATAGTGTTAAGCAAAGATTATTATATTTCTATTATAGTTTAGGTCAGCAAACGAGTAGACGGATTACCTGATGGTAAGCAATCAGCGCCGTTCATGCACGCCCGTAACACTACGACTGCGTTGCTGGCCTTAGGGATAAGGGTTTAGGATATTTAAGGATTGGGAAGGGATTGAACCTGTGGTAGGTTCAACCTCACTCACACGGCAAAACACAACGCTTTAGTTTTTCACGCCGGTTTTCCGTGAGGCCGTGTCATCACTCCGGTCGAGCCGACCCATTCTGCC